TTCCACACAATACCCCACCCAGTTCATTAAATTTCATCCATCCTACACGAACTCTAGCCGTAACTGCGCTCAAACATCCTCCATCCGCGTTCAGCTTATCCCCCCTAAGTAAACAAAGCTTTCCACTCTTTCAATACCACCACTCAACCCCGTCCTTGCGTCCGTCCTATTAATCACACCATGAACACACTTCTTACATTTGAACGTGCCTTCCACCTTTTTCAGTGCCCCCCTCACACCACTACATCTCTTATGCACCCATTTCTGACATCCTATACACTATACCGAGTTAGCCTTCACTCTCCTATCACATACCCCACAGGGGTCTATTTTACTTATCACTCGCTCCCCACCTTCCCCACTCACCATTACCTTCGTCTTACCAATATTAACTTTCAACCCTTTCTTTTCAATAACACTTTTCCATCGGTCAAATTTTAACTGCAATTCTTCCATGCTATCAGCCATCAAGACTAAATCATCTGCATACAAAATCTAAAATAACAACCCCTCCATTATGTTTCCACACACAACATCCATCACAATTGCAAACAGAAACGGTGATAACACTGATCTTTGATGCACTCCTACCTTAACACTAAAAGCGTCCGACATCCCCCTTCCAACCCTCACCTTTGTCTTTGCCCCTTCATACAGCTGCATCACAGCTTTAACAAGTCTCTCATTCACTCCTTTCTTCCTCAACGCCCATTCAATGACCTTCCTCGGTACTCGATCAAAAGCCTTTTCTAGATCCACAAAACACATGTACAATCTTCGTTTCTTGTTTCTATAATTCTCCTGCAACATTCTCACCATGAACAACGCATCCACCGTTCCCCTACCAGGCATAAACCCACACTGCATTTCATTAACTGTCACCATATTTCTCAACCTCCTCTCAAGCACCCTCTCCACTACCTTCATTCCGTGCTCTAGCAATTTCACACCCCTATATGACCCACAATCTCTCACATCTCCTTTGCCCTTATACAACGGCACCAACACACTGTGTCGCCAATCCTCAGGTATACCTTCATCATCAAACATACTGTTAGCAATTCTCATTATAACTTCAATTCTTATCACCCCACTCGCTTTTATATGTTCTGCCGCCACTTCCGAAACCCCTGTCGCCTTACCTAGTTTCATTTCTCTAACTGCTTTCTCTACTTCCTCCATCGTCACGGATTCCACATCTCCATCCTACTCATTCTCTTCATTCATCAACCTTTCCA